CAAGCTTGTGTCCCGGCTGCTCCACTTCTGAATCAGGTCTCTGTAAAGGATGGCTCAAAGCCTTGAGAACCTGCACCCATGTTGGAGACCTAGAAGAAGTGCCTGGCTTCTAACTTCAGATTGGCTCAGCTGTGACCGTTGTGGCAATTTGGGGAGTGAACCAGTGGATGGAGGACCTTTCTATCACGCCAGAGTTCTGTACCTCTGCCTTTCCAATGAAAATAAATACAATTTTATAAAGGACAAGAACATGCTTTTTGTCCCCGTCTTCAAAAACATAAAGTAACTTAAATAATTTAGACTACATTTTGATGGCATTCAGTTGAGATTTTTTTTAAAAGATTTATTTTTATTATTTTTTTATTGGAAAGGCGGATATACAGAGAGGAGAGACAGAGAGGAAGATCTTCCATCCGATGATTCACTCCCCAAGTGAGCGCAACGGCTGATACTATGCCGATCTGAAGCCAGGAGCCTCTTCCGGGTCTCCCACGCGGGTGCAGGGTCCCAAAGCTTTGGGCCATCCTCGACTGCTTTCCACGCATATTCTATCTTTTCAAGAATATTCTATCTATATGCCAAGGCATGACCAGAGTTTGAACCCTTTTAGAACTAGGGATTCTTGGGGCCCGGCGCAGTGGTACAAGTGGTTAAGGTCCTCGCCTTGCACGCCCGGGATCCCATATGGGCGCCGGTTCTAATCCCGGCAGCCCTGCTTCCCATCCAGCTCCCTGCCTGTGGCCCGGGAAAGCAGTCTCTGTATATCTGCCTTTCCAAAAAAAAAATAAATAATAATAATAATAATAATAATAAAAATAAATCTTTAAAATAAAAAGCATTCAAAAGCAGTGAGCTAATACACAAATTAACACATAACATGGATGAGAGTATGGGGAAAGAAGAGATAACACAGTGCTAACAGGACCATGAATTGGTGAGACCACTTTGGAGAACAACTTTTTAGCACCTGCTAATACTGCAAACAAGCCTATCTATTCCTACCAGCCAAGAAATTCCACCTGCACATCTCTTGCCTGCAGAGGCTGCAATACATAGGCACAAGGAGAGATGCACAAGATTCTTGCAGCTCAGCTTTTTATTTTCTGCTACTAAGAAACAAAATACTATCCTCAGTAAACTAGTAAGTAAATAAACTGTGGTTTATTTATGTGATTAAATACCATGGAACATTTGAGATCTGCACGTATTGACACAAATAAATGTCAGACATTAAAAAAATCAAGTTATGAAAGAAAATGTATCACATGACTTTTAATATTTATGTAACTAAAGACATATAAAGCAGTATTATGTGTCATTTATGAATATGTCTATATAATAAAAGTACAAACGTGTGTGTATATGAAAGGAAATATGCCCAGCCCAGGGTAGTGATTACCATGTGGGGATGGAGGTAGGCATGGAAGGTGAGTGTTCTAGCCACACTGAATGCTTTCTATTTCCCTAAAGAGAGAATATTGATTCTAAAGCAAATACAGCAAAATGTAAACATCTGTTACTATGGGAGGCTGCTACATGAGTGTCTGTTACTAGTTTTGACATTGACTGTGTATTTGAAATGTCACCAATTCACATTTCAACCATTAAAAAAAATAATATGAAAGCCCACAAAAACAAAGAAAACGTTTTCATTTAGTTACATTCTTTTGCATTCACTGGGAGTGTAATGCAGCAGATATTACAATAGCAATTATTTCATTCCACAGTATCTCGTGTATCTGTTTTGGTGTGTGTCTCTAATTATGACTGTTCTCGTTACCTTCCCTCAAGATTGCTTTTCAGAAGCAGCTGCAGCTGCTTATTTAATTGCAGACTTTGGGTTTTCAGTATGCGTGCTCACTGGGCTTCTAAATAGCCAAGTTACAGTTATAGTGACTGACAAAGCCAATGGACGCTGTTTCCTTGTTTCAGTAAACGTGGCTGTGCCAACCCATGGTGAGGAGCGCTGCAGGGGAGGCCCAGTCAGGGGTTTGAATAGTCATAGGAACCCTTACCCAGAGACACGGCTGTCACAGGCTGCCAACTGCCAATGAAGGCCCTGGTCTCTCTGCAGTTTCTGAACAACGGAGCCAGGCTGGGAACAGACCCAAACCCTGCTTCCAGCATTCACAATTCTGTCTTCAGATTTGAAAGGACTTTTCTTGATTGTTTATCTTAGGCATATGGGTAAAAGGTGATGGTTATAAGCATAGCCTTAAAGATAGAGCAGAAGAGCTTTTCCCCTGGTGCAAGCTAGTAAGTGTCATTTTACCGAAAATGCCTGAAAGGAGCTGCTGGGACAAGAAGGTTGATTACAGCTCACAGTTTTGGAGATTCATAGTTCAAGATCAGGCCCGGTTAGTCTGACATGCGATGAAGGTGGTAGATGGAAGAATGCATGCAGAGTAAGCACCCCAAAGTCAGGTGGGATGCAGAGAGCCCAACGAGCCTCAAATCAGCTTGTACAACCAGCTGTCCTGTGAGAATCAGCTTCTGAGGGCATGTCCCAGTGACCTAAAGTCCTCCTGCAGGTGCCACCTCCTAGCACCGTGATTAGATCAAGAATCCACCCTCACTTCATTATTAATCATTAATATAAAGCTTTGGAGACCAGCTGCCAAAATGTGGAAGCATTGAGGGATACTCAAACTTCTCCAATCATGGCCATAGTACAATGCTTCAAAGTAAAACAATATTCTACAAGTTGGAGGGTCTCTAGCACTTCATGCATCCTTTTCACTCTGCTTCCACAGATAGAATTCTGCAAACAAGCCTGGTTATCATGAGGATTAAGCACAGTGCCTGCTTACTTCTAAGCTGCCAAGTTTAGTTCCCTGCAAACCCTCAGACTGACTCAGGCACAAGTCATGTTCTCTACCCTCTAGTTACTACCAGCTCTGTCCTCCATGAGCCTACACTTGTTCTCAAGCAAGAATTTCCATTCTTTCCTTGGTGCAGTATCCCTCTTGTCCCCTAGCCAAAAAACTACTGTCTGTCTCATCTCTGCAGTGTCAGGTGTCATATGCTTGGCCATCTCCCATGAACGTAGTATGTAATCCTGTTATCAACAACAAGATGAAGAGACAATCAAGACATCTGGGACTGTTGTGGTTTTGCAGGTGAAGCCACAACCTGAGATTCCTGACATCTGCTGTGGATGTGGGTTTGTACTCCAGCTTCTCTAATTCCAAACCAGCTCCCTGACAATGACCTTGGAAAAGCAGCAGAGAACAGCCCAAATGTTTGGGTCCCTGTACCCACATGGGAGACCCAGACAAAATTCCTGACTTCTGTCTTCCCTGACTCAACGCCACCTGTTGCAACCATCTGGGGAGTGAACCAGTGGGTAGGAGATCTCTCCCTCTCTTTTGTGTAACTGACTTTCCAATTATATATACATACACACACACACATTATATATGTCTTATAAAGAGAAATCATTGGTTCTCACTTTCTTGTTCAGACCAATCACTACAACTCCATGAGATGTTTCAAACCTCCTTTAATTCTGGCAAATCTACTCTCGTCAGAAAAATGGAAATGGAAATAACACACTTGGGACAAGTGCTTCAGGATCTCTCGTTAGTTGAAAACTCAGAAGCTTTTTCTTTGAAATCTTTACAAGTTACAGATAAAATGAGGGGAGAGGGAGTGAAGAGGGTGGCTTGACAAAGAACAGAAAACCCCAGTCGGCCAAGCTTTCCTCAAGGCTATCACCCAAAATATCCAGAAATGACAAAAATATTTCCATGTGATGTGCAGTTAGATAGCAGCAAGTCAATACATGTAAGTAGCCTGACATATACTTATCCTACCGCAAGCATTACCAGTGATACAGCCATGAGGCCACCGTGGTTCTCTGGTAGGGTATCTGGCCAAAGGGACATCCCTGAATGTACAATAGGGCCACATATTGTGGCAGCTAAGCCCTGACTTATTCTTATGTGATTTTTTGCGAATTATAAAAACAGTGTGGTTAGGATATTTATGTTTTGAGGTGTTTCTAGTAGTTAGAATTCTTGATAGGTATGAACATTGCTTTCACTTTCTTCTAGTAATTTCTCTTTTGACCTTGGGATTGCAGTTGGAGTTTACGCTTCCAAAGAACTTTCATGTTTATGTAATTTATTCTCACCTCATAAATGAGTCTGAACTGTTGGTTTATTCATACTTGAAATAGTGTTAGTAACAAAACCTACAGAGGAGAAAGTGATTTCCCTCCAAGGTACACAGTCAAATGTATACATTCATGACTCAAATATTAGAATTCATAAATCCAGCATTCTTCCTACTACCCAAATTCTCTCAAAATTTACCTCTTTATAGTTCAGCTTCACATCAGTTATTCAACGAGTAAATGCCGGGAAAAAATAGAATGTTGAGGTTTGAAAGGATTTTGGAGATTATCTCAAGTGCCAACACATACAAAAGTGGGGAGAAATTAAATTCCTGGGATAAGAACTATAAAGAATGGTCATAAAAGCACACTGTTGATTTCTTAGGATTCTGTCTTACCGTTCCTATGTTATTAAGTACATTCTAAAACTATACTTTGTTCTATCCAATATGCTTGAAATATTTTTCATATAATGCTCTAATTTGAAATGTGCTAATTAAATAAGAATTAGAGTTTAGGATACCTTTCTGGTTAAGAAAGTCAATAGGGCCTGGCATTGTGGCATAGCAGGTGAAGCCATTGCTTGTGATATCAGCATTCCATGTGGGCACAGATTTGAGACTCAGTCACTCCATTTCTACTCCAGCTCACTGCTAGTGGCCAGGAAAGGCAGCAGAGGACAAGAGAGTCAGATTAGGAACAGATGCTTGAATTGGTTTCATTTGTCAAAGAGGTTTGATTTGAAAGGCAGAGCGACAGAGAGAGAAAAATTTTTTTCCTCTGCCGGTACACCACCCAGATGACTGCAACAACTGGGATTGGACCAGCCAAAGCCAGAAGCCAGACATTCCATCAGTGTCTCCCACATGGATAAGAGGATCCCCCAAAATTCAGCCATCACCTGCTGGCTTGCAAGGTACAGTAGCAGAAAGCTGGATTGGAAGCAGGGCAACTAGGCTGTGACCATCATTCTAATATGGGGTACACATGTTCCATCACTACTACATGGGTAAGTCTAACTGATAAGAACAGATACTACACTTGATCTTAGCCAAAAGGCCGAGAAGCGATACATGGGTAAGTCTAAAGCTATTTTCTAATCATTTAAATGTCTTAGAGAGTTTACCCACATTTCAAAATAAAAATAACAAGCATGTATTAGGGAGCCTTGTTTCTACTTTAGTAACAACACACTGTGGGGTTTAGATTGTTGTAGGTAAATTGTTGCAGGAATTTGGAGTTGGTTCTTCACCTCCTGCAATGAAGAATTACAGTATGGACAATAATATGCATGAGCAAAGAAAACGTAAGTAGCTATGACTGAGAAGCAGACTCCTGCTTGCCAGGAGGGGTGCCCAAGGTCAGGCTTCATCAGGACTTGGGTCTTTAGGGAGTACATAGTAACTGATTGATTCTCCTACAGAGCTTCAATACTTCAGAGATCTGCTCTGCTTGTCCTGTGTCTCATGTGTAATGATCATGGTGCCTGACCAACCACCTAGGAGAGACAACAGTTGAGGAGTATTATTGGCTTGACTAATTGATAGGTGATGCTACCTGACTGGTTTCTAAGCGCTTGAGATATGCTGCTTTGTGCTCAGATGTTCACTTCACTGTGATCCTCTCAATGGCACTCTCTGTGTCCCTTATTGATCTTGTCATTTTCTTGGGGGCAATGTCTTTTTTCTAATCAGTTGATACCAGGTATCATGCAAACACCTGGTACTTTATTCCTACAGGGGCCTTTCCTAATTGCCTACTAACTCCTTTCACATCAAATAAAGAAATAAAATGCATGACTCTCCTGATATAAAGCTGGGAGGGGAGAAATGGAAACGCAATTTTATTAGGTTCTTATTCTATAATGAATGAGTGTGCTGTCATTTGAAATTCTTGACAAAAAATATATAATAAGGTAGGGGCCAAACCATGGCTCAACAGGTTAATCCTCTGCCTTAAAGAACCAGCATCCCATATAGGCACCAGTTTATGTCCCAGTTGCTCCGTTTCCTTGAGAGCTTGTTAGGAGGTTCTAGCAGGGGAGTGCAGCTACTCATATACCCTTAACCCAAGACCAGTCCTCCTCTAGCGACCAAGCACGCAGCTTTGGGAGGGACACATATGGAGCAGTGAGGGAGGATGGGGGCATCCGCCTAGCCAGCCAGATCAACTGAATCAACCCTGGCGATCTATGGAGTGACAGATGTCTCAGCCAGATCTCCCTCACATCCAATTTGTTCCGTTTCCAATCCAGCTTTCTGTTTTAGCCTGACAAAGCAGTAGAGGATGGCCCAAGTCCTTGGAACTCACATGGGAGACCTGGAAGAAGTTCCCGGCTTCAGATCCTGTCTCCTGGATTGGCAGCCATTTGGGAAGCAGAACAGCAGGTGGAAGATTTTCCTCTCCATCTTTTCTTCTCTCTATAAATCTGCCTTTTTAAAAGAAATAAATAAGTCTTTTTAAAAAAATCTAATGTAGCTACAGCAAAGAATTATATATCATGAATCAAAAATAAGGTAAAGTGATACTACCAAAAATATACAATTTGAAAAAAGGTAGAAAAGGAAGAAAATGGAAAAAGAAATTGATGAGACAAAGAAAAATGGTAAATTTAAGTTTAATCATATCAATAATAGTATTCATTGTAAATTACCTGAACACTTCAATTAAAATAATAGAAATTATCAAGGTCTATTGAAAAGCAAGATCCAACTATAGTGCACATATAAAACTACCTATCCTTTTTAAATGTAAAGACATAAATTGGAAATGAAATAATTTGCTGGCATAGATCAGCAAAAAATTGGAGTAGCTATATCAAAGTTGCAAGGTCCATTATTAGAGATGATATAGGCCTACGGCAACATGATCAATTTATCAAAATCAAATTGCGACACTTAATCTGGTCCTTTTATCTAAAATAGCTAAATTAGCAAGAAAGTTAGTAGCCAGCAGCAAGTCCTGGGCAAATGGTTGGCTAGATTTTTATGCCAAAAGCCTAGTTCCTGAAACCCATACTGGGTTTCTGTTTCTGGAACTTACAAGTATCTTTAGATGGCTTTATGATAGCATTGAGTATATTGTACACTAATTAGTTGCTGTGAATTAATTTATCCTTGCCACCAGATGGTGACCTTAAAGGCAGGGAATTATGTATGACTTCATTTTGTGTTTCTTGAATGCAGCAGAGTGCTAGACAGGAGGAGCTAAATGGTTGCTGATAATACCAGTGATATGATAGCATTCATCTCATACAATGCTTCACTTAAATCTCTTACCAATCTCTAGGATTAAAATCCATTTTATAAGCATGAGACAGACCAATCAACTGGTAAATTTAAAAATTTGTACTAATACATTATTTATTCAATTATTTGTACTCAATTTTAATAGTAATTTGGAAATGATTCAATTTTCCACTGTTAAGGTACTTGATGGAGCAGATGGCGTTTCTTACACAAGCAGATAGCTTCTAATTTTAGGTGTGAGAAGTCTGAACACATTTCTAGGTAAATTTCTGCAAGTGTCAAGAGTTTTTAAGATGAGGAATCACGCATTGGCATAAACTATTGGGTCTAAAAGTATTCTAAGCATTTAACATTTTTTTCCCACTGTTCCATGTGACCAAGCATTTACATCTCATTGCTCCAGATCCCTTGAACCATTAATGATGACACTCCCTGGTTAGCAAATGTAATGATGAGAGCATTATATAATAGCATCAAAAACCATTGAACCTGGTCCTAGGGTTGTGGCATAACAGTAAAGCTGTCACAGGGGGTGCTGGCATCTGATATGGGCACTGGTTCTAGTCCCGGCTGTTCCATTTCACATCCAGCTTTCTGTTAATGTGTCTGGAAAGACAGTAAAGGACAGCCCAAGTACTTGGGCCCATAACCAAGTGGGAGACTTGGAAGATGCACCTGGCTCCTGGTTTCAGACCAGCCCAGCTCTGGCTGATGTGGCTTTTGGGGAGTAAAGCAGAGAATGGAAGACCTTTCTGTCTTTCCTTTTATCTTTTTGCAAACTTTGCCTTTCAAATAATAGATTAAAAAACCTTAAAACCAAACATTGACCCCCTGCTCAATACTAGGCTGAAACGCTATAACCAAAATATCATTTCTTTGCTATGAAATGATGATGTATATTTTTCTTCTCTAAGATTATATCCTGAGGGAAAACAATCTCCACATCTCTTCACTTGATTCTTGGTGTGGAGTGCAGTGAGCAAATTTCTTATATGGCCAAGAGTTGGGGAAACTATGTATTTTAAAAAATATTTTACTTATTTTTATTGAAAAGTCAGACTTACAGAAGGAGATACAGAAAAATCTTCCATCCACTAGTTCACTCCCCAAGTAGCCACAATGGCCACAGCTGAGCCGATCTGAAGCCAAGAGCCAGTAGCTTCTTCCAAGTCTCCCACACAGGTGCAAGGTCCAAAGGCTTTGAGGCTTTAGACTCACTTAGGTATTTCCTCTTCTGGCAAAGGGTGTTGCTTTTGTCAGGTGGTCCTACTGTAAACCATCTCCCTCAACCTCCTCCGGGATTGCCCTTCACCCACCCCACCTGGGTCTTACAATAAGCACAAACACAAAAAATGACTCACAAGCCCTGAACAGTTTCCTCCCTCCAAACTTGTTATGGCTGTCCCAAGCCTTTAAGAAAATCAAGCTCTCTTCATAATTGCATAATTGTTTTCATAGTAGATGTATAAACTGGGCCTTACAAAATGTGAAAGATATGTGAGAGACCAGCTCACATGTTTGGCTTGACACCTGTTATTACAACTAACCCAATCTGCATGTTCTTTCAAATACAATTGGCATCCGTTGTCCTGGACTCAGCCTGCTTCTTACTAACTGCCAGGCTCCTGTAGTAAATGGGAATTGTGGTTGTTGAAGTATGCCTCTGTTAAATAATTGACTTTTCTGATGTGTTTCAACCTTCTGGAAAAGACACCTGAGAAGCAAAGAGTCTAGGGCACACTGCTAAAAGACTTCAGCAAGAGGGAGAATCTCAGATCTGATATAAAAACAAGGCAGAAACGGCTCTGTTCCGAGAAAGCTCGAGTTCATTAACACACTTTTACATGTGGCTGGTTAAATTTAAGGTGGTTTTATTTGATCAGTTCTAGAATTAAATTCAGCTTCACAAAATGAAGATGCAAGCTAATTAAATTAATAATTAGCTTACATTAAGAAAGAGATGAATTAGTACTTGCATGACCAGGAGGGAATAATGGCTGCTCTGTCCAGGAAAAGTAGAATAAGAAGATAAATGAAAGGAAGGGAAGAGATGTGGGCTGCCTTGACTGCAGTGAAGGTGACCAGGGCAGCCCACACCCAGGGTTTGAGAGTTCTTTGTTTTTCCAAGGATTTCAGAGCCTTTAAAGAGAGAAATAGAGATGTCCTTTTCCTTTTTTCTCCTCATCTTGTTTTCAAGAAACTGTCCCATGATTTTAGCCCAATTAAATCTGTAAGAATTATCACAAATCGTTACGTAGGAAAAGGATCAGAACCCAGACAAACTGATTAACACAGAACTGCATTTTCTGTGATATGTGTTTGTTCTTGTATGGTTTCTTTGCTCTTGTATTGTTTCTGGCCTGGTAGTACTAGGAAACTCAGCTCATTCCCTGTCTTCTCGAAAAAGATTCTGGAAAGACAAGCCTAGGCAGGTGTCTGCTCTGCACACAAATGAGGCAGGTGACCCAGCTGAAGCCTCCCAGCAATGCCAGCATTAAGTTAGCATTGAAACAAAGTGAAACAAGAAAAAAAGAAAAACCCTCTAATTCATTTTTTCCTATTAGGCTAAAATCCTGATCATCATAAGCAGATGGCTTAAAGTGCTTACTTTGTAGAATGATTTAAATGACTAAGAAGACAATTCCTACATATAATGGGAATCTGTAGAGCATCCTCAGCCATTTGGACTGTGCTTTATTAATACGTCAACAATGGTTTGAAAAAGACATACACACACTCACCTTTAAGCAGATGCTCTGTGTAGTGAAATGAAAATAGATCTTACAACTTGAGGACTTGAGCAGACTCCCCTTTCTGCTTGTC